CTCTCTTTCCTCTAATCATTGTAAATAACTGTTAACCAAACATAAGCCGTATTCTGTTCTAACTGATGATTTATCTTATTCTTGCAAATAGCCAATTAGAATTCATTTCTTCCTTTTAGCTGCTCCTACCAATTAATTTGGATTGCTCGCTGGCGGGGTTTACGTCGTCTCACTTCCTAAGTTTCCTTAGTATTCGTCGCTATAGCACTTTTATAGACTAATACCATATAAGTCGAAAGGAGGTAAGGGCTAGAGAACATGACAAACTTTATTAAATTGCCCTAATTTAAAAACCTACTTAGGTACTTTGTCCGCCGTCAAGAACTTGCGTCCCTGCCTAGAATTATTAGTTCTAGCACCAACACTCCAAGCATCGCAGCCTGGGCGAGTACGGACTTTCCTCAATTAGTGATTACTAATTGCCATCAGTGTTTGGTTAGCACTTATTATATGGATTAATTTCCGTCCATATATTAATTTTTAGCAATTATTTTAATTTCCTAATCTCATTTGAATGAATTCCTTATCAACTTCTTCCAAAAAAGAAGAATAGCCGTCTTGCTTGCTGCTAATTAAAAATAATAACTTTTTTGCTCGAGTAATACCAACATAAAAAAGGCGCTTTTCTTCTATTAAGTCTTTGTTTTCTTTGTAAGGTAAAGTTCCTTCATCCAAGTAAACAAAAAAAACAATTTCAAATTCTAGTCCTTTGGCTTGGTGAATGGAAGAAAGAATGAGATTATTACGAGTTTTAATTAATTTTTTGTCTTCAAAAGCAATTAAGAAATACTGTAAAAAAGCGTTCAATAACTCGGATAAATTATTGTCGATAACTCTTCGTTTCTTTTCTCAACTTTGAACCACATTAAGGAATTGTTGAACGTTTTTTTCTCTTTCGCGGGGGTTACTAGTTTTAGTTTCTATATGTTTTCAATAAGCGAACGCTTCCAAGACTTCAGAAATAAAAGGAGTTAGCGATTTCTTTTGGTCAAGTGTGTTTTTGAAATTGTTGATTTTGAGTATAAATTCACAAATTTTGGCCGTTTGTTTCGGACTGAGTTTTAATTGATCCGTCGTCGTATTTTCTTCGCTCCCTGAAGAAAGGTTGATAATATTTCAGTAATTATTTAAATATTGATAAATATTGCCTCCTTGTTCTTGGCTGTTGACTTCAATTTTTTCAATGGTACGAGCACCGATGCCTTCCATTAAGTTTAAAACTCGCAACAAAGAAAGATTATCCTGGTAAAGAATAGTTCGCAGAAAAGCTAAAACATCTTTAATTTCTCCTCTTTCAATAAATTTAAAGGCTCCCAAGATTTCATAAGGAATTTTTTGGGCAATTAATTCTTGTTCAATCCTCATCGAAAGATAATTATTTCGATAAAGAAAAGCAATATCACTAAATTGACAATTTTCTCTAGTCAATAATCAACGAATACGGCGAATAATTGATTTTAAAGGAAAATAACTGAATTGGATGATTTTTGCTCCTTCTTCTTTGGTCGGAACCAATAAATT